ACAGCCATATGAACTACTGGCCACAAAACTCTTTTCAGAAGCCACATCCATTCTAGTCTGGGTTATTACCCTTTCAACCTAAAGTTACCCTTTTTCTAGCAGTCCAGGAATCAGACCCTTTAAACCTGGGTAGTGTCTAAATGTACAAGAGGAATCTATTTTGTTCCTCACTAGCTCTTTAATCAAAACTACCACCTTTTCAGTAAATTACCTGTACCCAAGAGAGAAATGTTCATGGTATTTACTATGAAGTTCACAAAAAACTACACCTATCTTTAGGCCTAATGTCACTGAACCAACAGGTATCAAGAATTACAAAGCAACACACACCTATAAGTATGGGATGCTGCCTACTTCCAATACAGTACACAGAGAAAGGAATACTAAACACACAAAGAAGCCATTATATAGCGGCTTTTCTAGGTATTATTCAAAAAATACGTTTTCTTTGTTCTTTTCCCCCCTTATCCTTTTGTTGTTGGACTGAGGGTTTTTGAAGGTGTTTGACATTTTAGGAACAGAAGCTACTCAGAATTTCTGTAGGAAAGCTGAGAAAGTGCTCAGTATCTTGTGCATGCTCCTCAGATCCCTTTCTCCAGCTAGTACCAACAGCGTTTGCTTGCACCTTTCAAAAAGCCTCCAGGTACTGCAAGTTACCTGGCAACATCACATCTCCATCAGTTGGGAAGCATTTTGCTTATTTTTCCATGTTTGGAAGCCTGCCAGCAACAGAATGTATGTGTATGTTTGCTCAGCAAGAATCTGTTCAGTAAGTCAGTTCTATAGAAACAGGGACAACGGTGACAACATTGATAGATGACCTCTAAGCTCCACATACCATTCTTGGTCTTACAGAAACCAAGATATAGTTGAAGTCAAATTCCCCACTTACAACAGCAAGCATTATAAATTATTTCAATCTCACTGCATCCACTTATGCTATAAATATACTTTAAAAAAAAAAGGAATCAGAATGTGTTTCATTCAGAGGCGATACTCCATTCAGTAGTGACACTCCACAAATATATGTAACATTAAGAGATTTCCCTTGCTTAGATTAATTCATAGCTGAAGGCTGTTACAGTAGGAGATGATGAGTCCCACGGCAGATTTTCTTGCTGAGACCTGTGCTGTCATGAAATGGGCTTGGCATTGAAGCATTTTGATTTATTCTGTGCAAAGAAGGATCAGCTTGAAATATATTATTCATGGATGGTGGTTATGTATTAGATCCATACAAATAGCAAATCTGATTTCTGTATTCCCAAAGTGGGTATTCAGAAAGCAGAATCAGCCTGACCACTCGTCTTAATTAACAGATGCCAAGTGACTGAACAACTCCATCCTTTTCTAGTGACAAAGTACCTGCGACTGCCTTTGAACCGAACAGTTTGTAGTTTGTAGAATCTAGTGAGCGTGCGAAGGGTTAGAGAGCCAATTTTCATTAGCCCTGGTTACATATATTTCCTTCTTCTATATACTTTTGCTTCTCCATACAGAAGAGGGAAATTATGAGCACATGGTTAGCGGGTTATCAAAAAAACAGATTAATAATCTCTTCGCCTCAGCTGTCTTCTCAGTAACTGCATTGTACATTAGAGCTCCACTGGTCTAAGCCACATTTCTATAAATCTTAAAGTTTAAGGGAGCTTGTTCACTTTGCAAGCACTTTGACTAAGATCAGTGTTTATACACGAGAACAATGTAATGAAAGATTACACTTTTCCAGGTAGCCTAGATCCTGAAATTGTAGTCCTGAAGGACTTCTTGCTTAGATATTCCTAACTCTGTCAAGATATGCTGTACTTCTCACAAAATAATTAACATTTTAGAACTGTTCTTTAAATTATTGTTACTGGAACAGTATTTTTTCTGGTGGCAATTTTCTTTTTGAACATAAGAGGACAAGGAGTGATTAGATAATGTTACCATTTTGTCTTTTACAAACCCCAAACAGTACAGCAATGTCTTGTCATCATTCTTAGCAATATTCATTTGAGCTATGCAATATTCTTTTGCCCTTTATCTTCTATGTTTAATTCCTTAAAAGTACAGCTGTCCACATTAAACTGTCTGCTTTTAAAATCCCCTCTGTCAGTGTGCAGAGCAAGTTCTTTCAGATGATTTTTATCTGTTTCCCATAATAAAAGAAGCAAGATTAGGATCAAAAACATCTTCTGAGGAATTAAGTATTATACAATGGTAGTTCATTTTAATTAATTTTCACTGATACAGTTAAACAGAAGCTGTAAACAGCTCCTGCATTACTAAGACTCTAGGATCTGAAACTAATTTATTTATTTGCTGCATTTTCTTTCACTGTTTGAATCCAATCGAATAGTTTAGGCAGGAGAGGTGGGGTGGGACACACCTGGACTCCTAGGCCTTGTTCATAGACATATCACAATCTTCTTGTATAATGTCTTAGGAAAGTCACTTAAACATCACTTGCTTTTGGATAATACCATTTACTAGCAAGTGTGCAGCTATCCATTGCTGTTGCACCATTTACTCCATTTGTACCCACCTAGACAGAAGGTTACAACAATGTCTGTAAAGCATTGATTTGTAATTAACTTCCGAAGTACTTCTACGATTTTAATTTAGTAGTTAAGTCCTGTTAATACTTACTAAAACATGGGTTCTTCTCTAGATGTCAAACTAAGCTCAGTATCTGATTGTTGTCTTAGACAAATCTCGTAAGTCTCTTAAGAAGAGGAGACAGTTTCTCCTCTTGCTAAAACTTTGACAGTACAATAGAAAACCAACTGAGCTTCCACAGTTTAACTGATTTTACTGTACAGCTTCTGCTAGTTTGTGAAGTTACACCCTTTCAGGCTGAGACTGCTTTGATGTAAGTCAGGGCGTAATTTCAGGTAAGAAAAACCTTCAAAAGTGCAAACCGTATTTTCAGCACACCCAAATCTTAACACTGATAGAACTATGTATTTTCAAATTATGATAGCCAAAACCAGCATTAACTTTTTATCTTTCTTCTCTTATTCCCGAGTAAGCACAGGCCTATTTTACTACAAGTATAGCACTTGCTGCTGCCTTTGGAAAAATTAAATTAAATTGCATTTCTATTTCCATATAGTTTCTGACATTTGAAAGGAAGCATATCCAGACTCCCTAGTAGGGAGCAAAGTCAAATAATGGCATGTGACAGAAAAAAACCAAGCAGATACAGTTAAAGAACCCTGGATGTACATAAGAAGTACACAGTAGACAGTTCCATGTCAAATCCACCCTGTATAACAAAGTAAAATCTATTAGCATCATGTGGGAAACTGTCACACTTCTGAGACAGGAGAGAGAAAAATGAAAGAACCTAAGATGCAGAGCCATACATTTGTGTCAAGTTTAGAAGACTTGTCTGAACACTATAGTGAACTGGTGGCAACAAATTATGACAAGTATTCCACCTTACATGGCTACCTAAAAATGTGCTATCCATAATATTTTAAAAGTGCATAAAGTATAAAATCAAAAGAAATGTTTAGATTTTACAATCTATGCTGCAAAACATCAAGTATCTAAAGAAATATGTAATAGGTTAAAACGTCAGTCACAATCTTAATTTCAAGACTTTTAATATAAAGAATTTTTAAGGTTTTTTTAATGTTGATTTTTTTTTTTTTTTTTACTATCACTTCCGTTAGTTTATATGGCATAATTTAACCTGCTACTAAGTAGAACAACTTTCGTTTATCTCCAATACACCTACTTAATTTCAGGGAAAAAAGGATTATCGTCTACAACTGTATGTTTGTTCTTTTCTTTATACCACATATAATTAGTGGCAAATTTAGGCAGATAAGAGACTAAATTATTGTACATTTTATCAATGAATTATTTATACTTCATTTTTCCCCATTTCTCCCCCCTTTTCCTTTCTGAAACCAGACAATCAATCAGCACATAAAGGAACTCATTTACATGGAACACTATCACACTTGTCTTTGTTGGGTCACCATTTCATGAACTACCCAGGATGTATGGCTGTTGAAGACTGGTGCATATATAGAATTTAACAAACAACAGTTCTTATGCAAAGAGCAGTCACAGAGAAAAATAGCTAATCAAAACACATTACAACATTAAATTTTCACTTTTTATAAGTGGAGTAAAGATGCTTTTAAATATATTTACAGTTAGAAAAAGGACTAAGGATTACTACAAGTCAAAATTATTTAGAAATTATGAAAGTGAAGTTCATTTAAATTAGAACATTATGAAGAGAGTCAAATGCCATATTCTACTTAGAATTTGTCTACTCTGCTGTCAGTATTGTCACATCCCTTTAATCAAAAACAGGCAAAAATCATCTTAACTTTGTTTAATGCCAAAACAGGCATCATTGCAATGTAAACATTGGCAATGTAATAGTTCAGTTAAAACCACCACAGCTCAGTTTTTAGATCCTAGCTACTTGTGTTGTATCTGTGGTTAGAAATTGCTTTTCTGTCTTATTCCATAAAGAACAGTGACACTTTTCTGCATTCTTCTTGATTATAACCATACTTGTACCACATTTTTGAGATTACTCTCTAGAGACAGTTGAATCATAGTAAACCTTCCTTCCAAACCAAATGGCTACTTATTTCCGAAGATACAAAGAGACCTCTTGTTGGCAGTGCTGGGTGGTTTATTCACATCAAGTTAAATGAAAATACGGTTCCCATTTAGTGAACTACTGGTAATAGATTATTATTTGTTTGCAAGGAATTCTGAAATGTGTTAGCATTCATTACATTTTAAATTAGAAACACATTTCATAAAACATCTTGCAATGAGATTTGCTATCATTAAACTGCTTACTTTAAACAGTTTCAGCTCTCTTGTAATCCATTACATCAGTATATTCTGCAAATAGTCCCACCTAAAAATAAAACATAAAAAAATAAAGTTGAGACGCCTGTATTTTTCTTTTAAAAAGTACTGTATGTTATTCTGAACACCAGCCCAGCCCCAAAAACATTTAAGAACCTTAAAATGCGTTGTTTTACAGATACTAAGATTTGGCCAGGTAACGGCAATGAACAGACATCCTATTTAGTAAGATAAAGCAGAATACATAATAAACAGGTCAGTAGTTATCCATCTGATAGCCTATAATTAACATTTGATGTCTAAAAAGTTTAAACAGCAACACCAAGGAATGAGGTATGTATGTTCTCAGATATCACATCAGACTTTCATTTTATGCAACTAACTGTATTTCACAACTAGCATCTTACAAAATAGAACAGTACCATTGTGCCTGTAGAAGTACTGCATTCAAAACATAAAAATACATTACTACAAGAAACCACCAAACATCACAATTGTCAGGGGCTACAAAAATCCATTGTTTTACCTGTTAGGAAAATGTATCATACGTTGGTAATAATTTGGGGCTGGATTCACTAGCAAGAAGGTCCATCCAACTTTTACATGGGCTTAAAAATATATTTATTTCTAATGAAAAAGAAAAGAATCACAGGAGCGTAAATGGACTACCTCACTAAAAGGAGCTAAATGGACTTCTGAACTGAACCTGAACGTGTAATTTAAAATCTATACATGGATCGTATGTGTGTATCAAAACACTTATTGGTTGTGAACAAAAATGCAAAATCTGTATTCACAAAAATATTTTATTGGTAATTTTACATAATACCAAATGGGATTGTAAATAGTTCTGCCCTACATCAGTGTACTGCTAAGTGCATAAATGTTGACGGTTTATGCCATAAAGTGGGGTACTGAGTTTTTTCATATGATTTGTGACATAATCTATTCTAATAGGCCAAATCAAAGTTAAAGAAGTTGATTCAGGAGCAAAAACTTCATAGTATTGTTATTTCCTTATTCTTGTGCAATATCTGATATTCCTGTAATGAAATGGTAAGTGACTACATGACACTAGATAAATCTGGGGCAAGGAAACAGCACTAAGCAGAAATGAGAACTGCACTTCTGTTATTTTAAAAACTTTTCCAAACTTCCGTATTTCCAAATGTTAGTTTTTGCCAAATGCATAGTCATCTGAGGTTCAGTATTTGTTACACAACATAGAATACCAGTGTACAGTGACAATGTAGTACTTTACCTGAATTGTAAGGTTAACCAATCAATGCTTAGAATGTGTTCTTCTATTTTTCTTGTAAACATTACAATAAGTGTTTTAAAGTGTGAAAAAATATTGGTAAAACCATCAACATAATTCAGTAACAGTAATCTAGTAAAATGTGTCAAACATTGGCAAAAATTCATACAAATGTTTTATTTAATATCATTTTTCCTATTTAACCACACCAAGTACCAGCAGGTGTTTTTAAGATAATTATTATGAAAATTCTGTTGCAGCAATAGTTGATTAAGTTGATCTCTGACTTGCATACATATAACTATGTTTCACAATTCTCAAATAATACATATTTAGGCAGCTTGAACTATGTTATAAAAATTTAAATTCAGTACATGCCAATAGTAGAGACTCCAAGAGTTGTGTTAGAATTCACTAAACTAAAAGTGAAAATGGACTTACCAATAACACTGCATAATGAACATTCAAACCACATTTTCATGGCACCTTTACATATGAAGATTAAAAAGTTGGTCTGAAAATGCTTTGTAAGCATTTGTAGATTGCATTTAAATTATTGTTTCTACCACTACACTTTTTTCTTTTTTAGAACTGCATAAATTATGTTCCAGTCAACATACCAATTGTGCATGGATAATCTGTCATGAAAATGTGGTAACAGGTGACAGAAGTTATGTATTTGCATGTTTTGAAGAGAAGAGACTAAAGAAACTGGAGGAAACAAACTTTAATGAGATTCCCCATTCAGTGACGATGCTTCTCCTCTGGGTGAAGATGACCTGGACATTCCCCTCTCTGTGTTGTCAGAGCTAGAACCACTCTGACTGTGTTGATCTGCAGAAGCAGCACTGGAAGCAGGTGGTGACTTAGTTTTCTCCTTAAAGTCTGTAATTATGACTGTCAGATCTCCAACGGTAACTTCCAAATGCTGAGCGCTACTTCGATCCACATTTTTCAATCTTGGCCTAAATAAAGCAAATAATCACATTAAAAGCACACACACCATCTTATTATCTCGTCTTCTTCCTACTTTTTAGGAGCTCCGGAGAACACACATGTGTATGTAGGACTGCTGTGTGCAACATGTAGTACACTGGAAAATAACGTACCACAAATATTTACGTTAGAGTGTTTCCTAGTATGTTTTACATTAAAACAGCTGAACATAACACAGTACCTTCTCCTGTGATTGTTTAAAAATTGACCTTATGAATAATGTAGCTGTGCAGCAATACAGATGTGTTGCACTATGACGGTTTTCACTTTTAAAAATTAAGTCTTTCTTTATTGTGGCTATAGAAAGTTATACATATGATCCAGAGAAGCATCCATCTCTGCAGTAGCCTTAAGCAACAATTCCAAGTAGAGAACAATGTTCAATAATGAAAATGCTGTTGTCTGTCTTTGGAATTCAACAGCACAAATAGTGTCAACTTGCAGTAGGTATTGCTTCATTTCAACACCTTGCTAGGACTGCTAGTATACTATTTGAACTGGACTTCGTTTTCACAGTATAACTCTTGTATTCCTGGCATATGCTGAGATTTAAATTATGCACAGAGCCGAGCATTATACACAGTGTTGACAGGGTAAGTCTCTTCATCTAATCTTTCAATTGTTTGATTTTTACAACATAAAGACCAGAGAAGAATACTTTGACTTATATTCTGCCATCATATTTTTGCTAGTGAGAAGCATAAAGTACTTTCAATTTACTATTTTCCTTTCACTACCATGAAAAACTGTCACCAGACAGCTGAATTTATACAGTTGATTATGAACAGCATAGCTTTATGCATTTAACTGACTCCACAGCTTTCACCATCTCAAGCTGCAATAAAATAAATTAATATGACATTACATGTTAGCAGGTGTGCTAACAGCAAAGCCCTAACCTTTACCCTATCATCTGACTTTGTCTGAAGTAGAATTGGATCCCAGTGACTGCAGCTGAGACACCTCATGCCTTTCCTCCACTAGAATAGAGATGGGCTTTGACATCTTGTTCCCCTGAGGCTGAAGCAGCGTGACTGAAGAATTTAAGACAAAACTGAAAATCTGATGCTCTGTAACATGGGAATGGAGAGAAAAAAAAAAATCAGCATTATTAGCCTGCTTAAGTGCCATGCCTGGAGCTTAATAATCATATTGAGTGTGCATGCAGATTGTTATGATCATTTCCAGCAATAATATACAAGTTTTAAGGCAAAGAGAAAAGGATATCCTTTTCTCAAAGGATACTGAAGAAATATACTTAAACTAATCAAGCATTTGTAACTTGCTATCCTACCTAGTGAATCAATTCTGTGGAAAATTGAACTGTTTGAAGCATTTTTTTAAAAAAGTAGCCTAGTTATTTCAAACGCAATTCTTAATGCAAATCTCAATACTAGTATTTCAGTCCAAGATTTTTTTGCAGTTATTTTTTAAACGTTCTCCCTTTTTCCCTACCTCACTTTTGCATTTTTAATGTACTATTGCAATTCAATCATCAATATTTCAATTTATAATATTCTATTATCTTAATTAAAATTCACTACGTTAACTTCAAATACTTCATAACTGAAGTACTTCAGCTGCCTGATGTAAGATAGGAAATTTGAGCATTGGGGAAAAAGAAAAAGGAAAAGAAAAGGAAGGAACATCTCAGTGTCCTTAACTCTATCTATGACTTTCTTAACAACTGTTCTCTCTTGACTCAATCTCTCCCTGGTTCTGATCCTGATGATCCTATTTCAAGCACAAGAAGAGGATCTGCCACTTCTCTGCAAAACTAATTGCAAAGGATCTTCCTTGGCAGGATGACTTTGGAATGCTTCTAGGAAAAAAACAGAAACAAAACCCAAACAAAAACAAACAAACAAAAAATCAATAGTTCCTCCCACGATTGAGTAGACTACATGTCCTGTATAATTCTGAACTTTTTGGCACAGCATTCTTGCCACAATAACTTCATGATTAGACTGTGATGACTTAGGGGGTTAAACTTGCTGCTTTTGTTTTGTCGTTTGCACCTTCCTTCCACCTGGTCCTAGGCAAGATCAAGGTTTTACTGCTTGTCTGTAGTGTAATATTTCATGTTCTCAGTTCTAAGGGTCCAAGGTTTCCCTCAGCATCCCAGATGTAGCATAGAGACAGGCAGTATACATGCCATTTCCTGTCACATAAATTTACACCATAGTTCAGCCTTTCAAAATTTATTCCAATTCTGCAAGGATAGCAATAACCATGTTACTTGCGCACTCTTCTGCAGTCTGGTACTGGTTCTCCCTCTCCTATTATTTTGCATGAAAAGTAGTCACTACTGTCCCCTCTCTTTTCCAGAGATTAGTATCATCTAATTGCCTACTTACAGTTTTGTATGGTGTGAGAAACGCCCTTAAGAAAAATACCCAAGTCTTTCTCCCTGTATTCAGCTGGCCTCCATCTTCTGGTCAAAATTACAAACTGCAGGTTTTCTTCGCTTTTAATAGGCATCATAAAATAATGAAACTTCACACACAAATATTTAGACTTATTGTTGAAAGAGTTTGCCACAGCACTTACGAAACAGTAAAACCCCGGAACATTTTCTTACTTTTTAAAATTATTTTTACCAATACTGAAAAAGTTTCTATAATTTTTACCTGGTTTTCTTATGACTGTTCTTTTTGCTTGTTGTTTCCTTTTCACTTTTTTCCTTTTCTACTTTGTCTTTTTTCTCTTTCTTTGATTGTGTAGGGGGCACAAATTGCTGAGGAACCTGTTGTGCAACCAGCTGAGAGACAGGTCGAGGTTTCCTGTGTGCACATATATAATGCTTAGACTTTACAACAACAGTCTCCAACTCTCTACACTTCAGTTAACATTAACAATCACTATAAAAAGAAATACTGCTAACACTTACCTTGCTGCTAATACTTCATTAAAATAGCACATCAAATTTAACCCCATTACAGCCTTTTGTTTCACCTACTTGCATTATCAACAAGTGATATTTAATGTATTTTTTTAAAGCATTTAGAAACAATAATTTGCAATGCGCCCTCTTCTCCTAGTTGTCATACCCAAACAGAGACCTACATGGAGTGAACTCCAAAAGATGAAGCTTCCAGAAGGAATGCTTTACTACCCAATCCCAGCCCCCTCAAATGATGAAGGGGTCTGTAACTGTCTGCAACAGTGAAGTACACAATCCGTATCACAAACGGGAAAAAGCTGACCTTTCCGGTATCAGACCTAAAGCCACTGTTGGCCTTATAGAGTAAAGTCTAACTGTTAAAACCTAACTGTTTTCAGCTCAGACAAATTTATTGAAAGCAATGGCAAACTCTGTTAAATTGTATATAATTTTTATCAAGTTGTTAACTGGAAAAAATTTACTGCACTAATAATGGGAGGATATAGTTGTCAGAACATTTAAAGGCTGGCAACAGAAACTTCCGACCATGTTCCATCAGTATATACAGTGCAGTTTTCATTTCCAAGTTTTGACCCAACCTAAAAACCAGGGTGAGAAAAGTAACAGCAGAAAAGAATTTCAACAGTATTATTTTTACGTTTCTGAAATATTATTTTGAAATTGCTTCATTTTTGGTTTTGTTTTGCGTTGGAATACAATGATTCTAATGTGAAAAGGAAAACTTTACTCTTTCCAATGCAAATGTATTTCTTTATTTTGAGATTTTGGAATTAAGAAATTTCAAGTCATGACATATGAAAATGAAGGTTCAGTGATTCCATTAAGACTCTGAAGATGCAAATTTCTTCTCCAAAAGAATGTTCACCCTGCCAAGCTCTTTGGTTTTGTTAGTTGTGTTATGTTGTTGGGTTTTTTAAAATAGAAAAAGCACAAATTATATGCATTGTGATACTCTGGAAATTACTAAGTAGCTATTAAGGCAACAGAAGCTATCAGCTCTTACACATATTTATTTATCCCAGCCCACAGGATCACACTACCAGCACTTCTTGCTTAGGTGAAGTGATGAGTAAAATAACAAAAGCAGAAAATCAAGGCAGCTCCCATTAGCAAGTTGTCTTCAGTAATGATTGCAATAGTTCATGTTAGAGAGTGAAAGCCAAGTTACCAGAATCGTAAAGTGTGGGAAAGGCAGTTAATATAATCCAGCTGATATTTCATGACTCTTCACAGCAAGTTCTTAATGAATTAAAGAAATAAAGACTAGTTAAAATGTCAACACAATAGAACTTTGGAGTAAAAACTAGACTACCGCATGCCCACTCATGAAGTAAGCCCATGCTAACTCATGGAGAGACAAAGATCAGCAATGCTCAGTGAAAACCACCCAGTTTATATCAGCTGACAAATACATGACTACAGGCTTTTAAGGAGAGCATTGCAACCAGGACCTCAGAAAACACACAGTATATGGAATCCAAAGTCACCAAAATGGACTGGAATTGTTTACATTAACAGAGTACACAGGACATTTTTAAGAAAACTTGCCTTACAACTATTTTGACCTTTTGTCATAGTAGTTCATAACAAAGCAAGAACCACCAAGGTGTAATTGATGAACAAACTTAACATTTCAGGTGGAAAACACTTGTGATATATAAATAAAACTGATCATCTGTCTTGAATTGACGACTGCTCCAGAAGACAGGGATCCAGGGAGTTAATATTGCTAGTGATGGTCAAGTGACAATCCCGTCATTACTACATAGTGACCTCAGAGAATAATTTCACATGTTATTTATGAAGAAAGACAGTAGTTAACTTCTTGACACAGAATTAATTATTGCCCAGGGCTGTGGACAACACCGAGATCATGGAAACTTGTTAAAAGGGGGGAGGGGGGGGGCCGAATTCTTAGCCAACTGTTTTAGGACTTCTCAATTTGAAACAATTTCAGTTCCTGAGGGTAAACTTGATAATTTCTAGCAGAGTACAGCTGGGAAATTAAGCTTAGAACTAAGTCGTAGGTTTAGAACTTAACTTTTTCAAGTACCAAAATACCAAATGAGACTGACAAAAAAGATCTTTGCCACAAGGAACAGAAGTCAGTTAAGACAAAAAAAACCCACAGAGAAATCATGTTTGAGAAGATGCACTAAAAGTGAATCAGGGGGTCCTATGTGATTTTGCTGTGACAAGGAATTCCAGTCAGTTATTTTATTCCTCCCAATTAAACAACTATCTTTTTGTTGTCAGTTATTTCTATAGCTATCAGTTATATCTGTGTTCTAAAATTTATTATCTGCTTTGTCACTTCCAGATTTCTTAAATGAGTAATTCAATACTTTTATATTAAAAAATCTGAGGAAAAAAATAAATTCACATCTCTCAACACTGAGAGTGTCTTTCAAGTGCTCAATTTTTTTTTCCAGGTACTCAAAAAGGGGCTACTGAACTGCAAACCAAGCACTTTGCAAGCCATGCAGGCTTCAGGAGATAACTTTACCACTCATGAAGATTTAACTTGATAGAATTGTTCATGATTTAGCAGTAGCTGAATCATGTCTTTCAAGCATGAAGGAATTCATACAGAGAAAACAAATGTAAGAAAAACTCTTCCTATGACATGAAATTGATGTTGATGATCTGCCAAAATACGACATTTTAGATAACTGGTTTTCAAAACCGGTTAGTTAAAGACTCTTTGTAATAGGTTGCTACAGATTAAGTAGATACAGACAATGTTAACACCGCCTTTTATTTCATCGCTATATTTACGGTAATTTGCTTTTTGAGCATATTCAAGAGCACTTGAGCTAACTGGTGTTTAGAAAGAAGCTCTATAAACTTCTGCATTACAGTTACAAGCATTTTTGCCTCTACCACTCAAAGTGACTTTACAACTGAACAATCCAGAACTATATGCAGAAATGTTCATAAACACAATCCATGTTGCTTAGTCAGTCCCTCAAAACTTTGCATTTTTATCTAATAATTTCACTTCATGCATTTTAAGTGGAACACTAATCAAGAGAGGCATACGCTATTACAAAAGATAAGAGCTATAAATTCTTTCCAACAGAGGTGAACTTTATGATTTAAGCCCTAAGCACTGCAGCCATACCAACAAACTGATTTACTGAACTTCCAAGAGATCACTAAACATTACAGCTCCCAGTATTGTGCCTTTCCTTTGCTATCACTCAGTTTTCCTTTTGAGCCAGTGTTACCTAAGTTAACATCAGCCATAATTCTACCTACATTTCTATTCAAACTTCACCTATTCTGGTTTTATTAATTATCTAATCCCAATGTTGCTTTCAAAGTCCTGCATACAAACACGCATACACTTCATAATTTCCTTTAAAAAATAAGGCAAACTAACATTTTTTTGTTTTTAAAGAGCCAACAGAGAGTAATACAAACATTCAAGGATACAGTTTTTGTCTTCCCTACAATTCCCATTACTGCTGAACAACAAGAACGTCATTTTAACTCTATTCTTCTTGTTGCAGGATTTGACTACATTTTATTTTGCAGAATTTAACCTAGCTGCTGGATTAGAGGGTATATTTACAGAGGGTGCAGAGACTTGCCTACTTAGGTTTTGTGTGCAGAAACTCATTCAACACTAATGCTCTCAAAGGGAGCAAATATTAAATATTGAGAAGGATGGACTATTTTTTGTTGTTGGCATTCTTAAAAAAAAGCTTTATAGCATAGCGATTTACATGCCTAGACATGAAAAACACTCATTCAAGAATACAAGTAGTGCACTAGAACAAATGATACCTGGAACTTTTGCCCCCAGTCATTTCTTTCTCCCAGAGCTCAACACAGTAACTTCCTGTTCATAAGTAATTTTGGACATCTCACAGCAGTACATACTTTCTTAATTTCCCTCACCTGGTATTCACCAATAATCTATGCAAAAAGAATTGTGACCAATTTCATATGGTGAATAACTTGGTCTTTACAACAAAGCAAGTCTGTTTTGAAAACAGAAATCAACAACAACAACAACAATCTACATACAATACTAATAATCAACGTATACAGCAGAAGTACATTAAACTCTCAGTTGCCTAAGGTGTACATCAAACATGCAGACAACCAAACTGGCTTAACGCTGAGGCATCCTGGGGTCTGGCTGAATTTAATTTAAACAGAGTACAACTACATTTGCACAGTGCTGCTTCTATAGCCATAGAAATGTATGTCTCCTGCACTACTCAGTACGAACTCAAATTCTGACACACCCGAGCTACTTTTGTCAAGCCAGCTCTAGGGTCCATCCTCTACAGCTGGAAACAAAGAGCATGATGTGGACAACCGTGACAGTTTTTCCATGAACCAACCCCAAATCTACCTACATCTCAAGCAAGTCCTGTGCCAGCATGATGCACCCCTGTGTGCAGGGTTCAGAGGAGATTTATGCATTTGGTGCTGCATATCCTGAAACATGTAGGGCCAATCAAGTACAACTGCCAAGCACCACAGTGCAGCCGAGCAAATAAGACTGCTGAGAAGCACAGAGCAGAGACATACACAGTCCAACAGAGCAGCCAACACCACACAGAACCAGCACCCATACCCTCCCACTATCCACCAGTCTCAGAATATATCCTATGCTTTTCTACAAGGAAAGCTAGATGGCATAATTAAATCTCAGTGCTGAATACATGCACCTTTTTCAACCTGTTGTGGGAAGAGTGTACTGTCACCTATAACACAGTTTACAGAGTTCAGATACTCAGAAGAACAGGAGACATAC